TGCCGCTAATTCTACTGCTGATTTTCGTTTTCCGGGGAGCTGTTTTTTCATGCACAGGGGGGTTTGCATCTATCAGGAAAACACTTTTCTCGAAAACGAAAGTGGAAATAACAGTACTTGCCATTAGGGTTATAACGGCTCCGAGATTTACTTCGATTATTAGATGATCGACTGCTATTTCTTGAGCGAGAACGAGAATTTCTTGTGACAGTTAGTTTTTCGAATTTATTATCCAAAGCTGCAATTTGTTGTCGGAATTCAGCAATAGCATCTGTTCCTGGAGAAACAATACTGCTGGCACAGTATAGTTCTTGTTTTGGTTGCATTTCGATGATACGATCCGCCATCAGAGCTAGTTTTTTCGATATCTTCATCACTAACGATTAAAATATTGCGCACAGTATCTGGCATTTTCTGCAGAAATAGTGTTTTAAGAACTTTATCCGAAATGCCATCGGTAGCAAGATTTCGCATTTTTTTGTAAAAGTTGACTAGGTTTACTGTCTCCCAAGTCTATGCCTGTTAGCAGTCTCTGTAAACGTTTATTTTCACTTTCTTTAAAAGTGTTCAAGAGACGTTCTTTAGCAGCAGTATATTTGGTTTTGCTATTGTCACTTATAATATCCCATAAACTTTCAACAAATTTTGCTTCCAATTGCGATACTAAAGTAGTTGAATTTAGTTTCCTCGGCAGTTATTCCACAAATAGAAAACTGTGCTTCTACTTGATAAAACCATATCTCTGGCTTTTCAGCCCAAAAGGGAGGTATTTTAACACTTACTCGTGCTATTTCTTCTTTAATCGCCGATTCTTCACTTTCTGACATCTTTATCAATAATTCCAAGGTCACCAAGTATGTGGTTGCTTGCTAAGTTCTTTTTATAATAATTTAAATAGCAAAAATTAAAAAGCAAGAATCAATATTTTCCATATATAACATCTTTATTATTCTTTGCAGCCCTCACTAACTCCTTACTGATTTTATGGCATGACAACCTTAGAAACTAAACTGAAACTAAAGGTGAAGTGAAAGTAGTAGTCATTATCTAGTAGAAGTAGTTTTAGTTATTATGACCAATAATAATTGTTGCCTACAAGTCTCTTAAGTTTTCAAAGTTAACATTTAGTTTATGTTACCAAAGAGAGTGAAACTGCATAAACTTATGTACATGATATTATTGTAAGTTTAAATAAGCTATCATCTGCAGTCTAGGAATGAATTAATGATGAAAACTGTTTTGGTTTACCAATATTTCCGTTGATGAATGGTCTTCAGGAACAAATTAGATTCGTAAACCGAGGTTTCACTTTATTTTTATAAATAGGATTGTTAGTGAGCAGAAGTTATAAAATTAATACTACGGAAGATTAGCCTTCTAAAAGGAAATTTTAAAATGATTGAAAAAAATAAATTTAGAAATTCCTCATTAAAAAAAAATCTGAAATGTTTTAGATTTTAAATTACGTCCAAAGGGGCGGTTTTTGTTTTTAACGCTTTGTGTGTTACCTTTATTTTATTACATATTACGTTCTTTGCCCTTAAACCATAAAATTTAGTTCAATAGAAATGTCGCAAAATAATTTTAAAATGGGCTTATCTTTAGAATTTCCGATACACAGTTCGACGTGCTGGAGATAAAAAGGTTCCCCCCCCCGTAGAGTGTTGCCATTGCTCGCTTTTAAATCGTTGAGTTTGTTACTCAAAAAATTTGTTTTACAAAATTGTTCGTTGAGTTTTACAAAATATGAAATCGATAATGAAACAAATTCCAAATTTCAAATTTGGGATTCCAGATGCCCATATTTGAAGTAGGATTACGTCATTCAAAATTGGATGGCTCCAGGTACCGTTGTTTATCACAATGTGAGAAATATACATACATTTATACAGATTTTTCATTATTTAATTTCTTCAAATATAATGCAGGACTCCAACATTTTGTGGCAACAGTTTGAAAAGCGAACCGACATTTATAGGAGTCCAACGCAAAATGCCAAAAGGAAAGTAACAGTCCTTCGGGGACTCAAGTCCCTTTGGACTAAAAATGGTTAGAAAATCAATTTTACTATGTTAACCCTTTGCGGCATAGTGTGTCCGGTCTGGACACACCTAAAAATTTCCTTCTGTACTCACAGAAAATTTGAATAAAAAAGGATTTATAAGTTACTATAGATTACTCTGAACCTTCTTTATTCATAGTAGATGGCAGCTCAACACAAGCCAGTCCATATATTTTAGCCATGTTTAGTTTTTTAAGACCCTCATTTTTCAAAGAAAACTTCCAGATTTTTTTAGGGTATAAAAAGAATCGTTTGAAAAGAAATTTCTATGTTATTTTTGGGCTTTATGCTAATCTCCTTATTCTATACCAGTTTTAAATTTTTATCTTGAAATATTGCTTAAAATCAAACTACGAACCCTAGGTGTGCCCAGACCGGGCTCACCAATAATCTAGGACAACTGAGAGTCTGTATTCTTTGTTTCTCTGAATCTCATCGGTCAGCAATGCTCGTTGACAACAATGCTCGTTTCAGCACTCGTTTCGAAGCTCTATTCAATCAGTGTGCCACTTGGGGCACGTCTACAGAATTAAAACGATAAGTTCACAAAATTTTACTTGTGTACACCTCTAGGCCTAATTAGACTGCCTACCTTTTTTTTTTTAAATCAGAACTTCGACTTTAAAAGTTAGCGTGCCGGAAAGGTTAAATAATTTTGTTTCAACTTATTTTACTAGTTTTAAACTAATATTCCACACATATTTGAGCAATTTAACAATTTTCATCTAAAAACTTCGATAGACTAGAACTTTTCGATTTGTTTCCTATTACCTCGTTATCATCTGAAATATTTTAAATTATGAATTAATTGTATAAAAATATAATAGTTAAAAGTATAGACAGATAAGTATGCTAATATCTCCCGAAAAAGTCATTTATGCGAGAATTATCTTTAAATGATTTCGCCCTGCATAATTATTTGCATTATAAAATACCTTACATGAATACTTCTTTGGTTCTTCCGTTAATAAATCTTAAGAGGTTGTTAGTCTTTAGGTAATAAATTCTAGTACCGTTTTGAGGTTTGACATGCAAAGTGATTATTATAAGCTTTTATTTAGTTCACTCGTGACGTTTCACTGCAATGGCATTTCATACTCTGCATTTAATATGTTTCGATATTTTGTTTCTGTTGCCACATATATTGAGAAATATTTTTGACTTAAATACGTTGTTCCGAACGACATTAAAATGTTTATAGCTGTGTAAGGAATTTCTGGGTATCCTTTTACTGATCCATCAATAGATTGTTCTCCTTTTTTTACTGCTAAAACTTCTGATTTATCGTAGTATCCGATCGGAATTTTAATCTAGTCATACTTAATTTCCCGCGGGGTTCCGCGGAACACAGATTGAAGACCATTAAAGGTATATTGCTATTGTAACGAATTTTGTATTTAGATAGGTAATTTTAGTAGAATTATAATTAAAATTGTTGTATCTTTCTGTGTAGTGTAGCGCGAGACAAATTTTAAGAGAAAGATATGCAGGGAAAGTAAGAATACAGGGGCACGTGCATTCTCGGTAATTTGTATTGAACTTGAATAAATGTAATTGACCACTATGCTAGCTGTAACCGTAATTCCACCCTCGTATTGCTTTCCAGTAATTTCGAGAAACTAGAAATATCTCGCGACTGGTTGAAAGCTATAAAAGGACAGAGAGAGAGAGTCGGAGCTCAGTGCTTAGATTTTGCTGTTACGAGATGTTTAGTTCCGAGTGAACTGAGATATCCGAATTAGCTTTCTCTTTAGATGCGCTTTGCATTGCATTGTACTTAACGTTTTTAGTAGTTTGAAGTATTACTACTGATTTTACTGTGTGATATTGTGAACACTTGTACGAATATCTCTGAGGAAAATTTCAGAAGTTTCGATATATTTCTTTTGATAAGAATAAATTTTATGAACCTTGTGCATTCAATCTATTACGAAACCGTAAACACGCAACCCTATTATTATTTTGTTTCAATTGATAAGTTTCCGGTTTAGGGACTCTTGGAAAGTCCAAAACACTTGCGAATATAGTAAATTAATAACTAGTGCCACTCGCTTTACCTCATTTCGGCAAGCAAATGCTTTCATACAAACTCTTTACTTTCGTAAAGCGGAAGAAACCTGTAAATGGGTATTCCCAAATAGGTCGCAACAAAAGATTTATGGTTTAGGTTAGTTCATTTGTAAAGTTGCGCGCCTCCAACCTGCACGCAACAAAGTGGTGACTGCTGAAACTGGGAATTAGACAGAGTGTTGAGAAGGGTTTAAGTCCCTTTTTATTCAACTTTAGAAATTACAATTGCGTGCTCTTGACGCTCACAAACTACGCCGACCCGGCGGTAAAATAAAAATAAGAAACTAAAAAGATAATAACGAGTGACTAACTACGAGGCTCTCTAAACGTAACTAACCTCACCGCGTTCTAAAATACCGCTGGTAATTCAGCAAACTCTGAATACCACGTTGAAAGATTAACAAATTGCCGAGGCAAGCACACAGGCCGAAACGCGTGGTTCTTCAATTTCTAACTAACCACCTCCGCGCTCGTGAAGTACGAAAAGCACACTTCGAACTCGTTTCCTTTCTATTTAACTCAGAATACTTCCGCTGATAATTTGAATCCTTGCGCGTTCTACTAAAAATTTACATACTCTGGCATTGGCAGTTCCAGGGGAAAGTAAGGCTTGACAGGAAAGATAGTTTAAACTTAAAATAAATGTTAGTTAAAATAAACATAAACCCTACACATTTATTCATCAAAGCTATGTAGTCTAGTTTAGAACCAGGACATTTAAGTATAAAATCTTTAAATTTGTTCTAAGATATTTTAATTCATTCAAAAGATCATAAGAAAGCTAATGAGATGTGTCCTTTTAGTGAGAAAGTACAATAAATTTGCTGTTCTGCTTTTATTAAACCAAAGTAAATTTAGATAGACTTACGTCTTGACCTGGAAAAACTTCGTCTCCTTGGCTCTGCTTTTCTGCTGTTAGACATGGCATTGGGCAAGGACCGTATACATCGTGGAGGCGTAAGATAGACTGACGGTGGATGAGGCATGTCTTTTACATCCCTGATGGAAATACCTCCTTGTAGAATACGTCTTGAGGGTGGTCGAATTAAATCAGGTAATGCTGATACCGGAATTTGTCTTGCTTCTTCGAAAAGAGAAGCGTTACTCATGGCAGGCGCAATAAAGCTTGGAGATGGTTGCTGAAGTGTTCCATCTAATTTCTTGCTCGGTGTGCGTCTTGCCGAAGTATATTTCGAGCGTAGAGAAGCAGAATCGATTGATAATGACCGAGTTATTTCTTTCGGTTTCTCAATGGAAGTGCATTTCAACAAACTACATAGCGAGCTTGGTGGAGTGAAATAAGCTGATGGAGATTTAGGAAATTCTTCTGCTCCTTTGTTGGAAGTGTTTTGTGGCAACGACGAGCCCTCTCTTGAGCGAACAGGAACGCGTCTACGTCGTGGATGCTGGAGAGGTTCTCGTGCGTTTCCTTTGAAGGCTGATTTCCCTTGAATATGCTTTTTGGACGACTGCTTCTCTCTTTCTCTAGTATTGTCTTTTACGAGAAATATCGCTAAACGTTCGATAAACTGTCTGAGAAGTCTCGTCATGATCTGCAAAAGAAAAAAAAAACTGAATCAGTATATCGTGGCATCTTAAGACAGATGATCAGTTGAAGAGGGGGGAGGATAAAGAAAAAAAAATAGTTGATCTAGTAAATTAAAACCTTTAAATGCCACTAACCGACACTGAACATTTTCATCTTTGGTTACCAGCCTAAATCATTTCTTATTCGTTATTGCTACTATATAAGCGCTAGATTTTGTTGTTCTTGTTACTTATGTTCACTTGTCTGACAGTAACATCAGCCCAAGATCACGAAATTCCTCGTTGCAAGGAGCGCAAGATTACGCGCCTGTCGTTGGCAACAGCCTTGAGCACCTCGAGCAGTGCGATTTAGCTCGCTTCCGTCCCCAATTTTGATGGAGAGCATCCGGGGGCGACGGGGCCAAAGGTCTCCCACCCAAAGAACGTTTATGTAAAGAAGGAAAGGTTCCATAGACGTAATGTAAACCAGTTTGTCTGCTACGCCGCTAAAAAGAAGAGGGAAATTCGCCAAGGGATTTGGCGACGGAACCTGTTGGCGAGAATTTCCCCTTTTGTGATGTATTGGACCTGGCCGAGATTTTCCTCCTCCGTCACGTGTACAGGAAATTGAGGAACACGGATTAAGCTGAATAAGAAAATTAGGTGAAATTTCACTTTCACTGGCTGTTGGACTTCCATTATCCATATCGCAGTTTGATGTCTGATTTTATATCCGTCAATATGGAGAGAAAAAATTGAGTCACACAGCTTTAAACTCTTGATAAACGTGACCGTCGAACTTGTTCGTACTTCGACATCAGCTTCGAGCTTTGGCCCTTTTTGTCGACAGATATTTTACGCATGAGCAGCTGTTACCTTTTCGTTCGAAGGGAGCCACTCCTGCTGCTGCTAAGCTTTCCTTCTTAACAATACATATTCTTTGTCCCACCCCTCTCTCCCCTTCCAACTAAACACACGAGAGGACTTCCGGCTCGCCGCATAATTAGAACGTATGCCGCATCGACCCTATACGTTTACAAACACCCATGCCTTCTCCAGGATTCGAAACCGAGCCCTTTGGCACGGCAATCAGCGACGCTAAGCCTGTTGCACTATACCGACCCCTAAACACTAGAACGCTTAGAATTCTTGTTACGAGGTGTTGAGGAAATTTCCGCCAACGGTCAAAGGGAAAATATATAAGTACCGAAGATTTTTCGTTTAACTGGCAAATGCTTTTACAACATGTTACAATTATTTAATTTTCACAATAGTGTCTGTATATTGGTGCCCACCAGCGGCCGAGCGGTAAAGACGCTGAACACTGGTAGTTCGGTCCGAGGTTCGAATCCCGCGAACGGGCTGGCTGCATGGGCGTTTTCGTGGTTTTCCCCATGTGTAACGTGTATACGAGCCAGTTTCCCTTAGAAAGTCCTCCACGAAAGGCATCCCTCCCCTTAGGCAGATAGCCCTAGTGTGCTTTGCCATAATTAAATACACCACACCACCTGTATATTGGTACACGTGTGCCAGACGGACCTCGCCAAGTTTGACGATTTATTGTCTAGCATGGTAGTCATGCGATTGTGATGAGATTTTATTTGGTATGGAAGTTCATTTAACCAGTTTAGGCGCTTCTGTATATTTTTGTTAGATTATTTTTCTTATTGTTGCTGTACTTTTTTTCAAAAGTAAATTATTTACATTTTGACTTATTACATTTATTATGAATTATTAAGATATTTTCTTCCTCCTTCCAGCATTCCTACGTGATGTAACGGTATCCCATTCGGCGAGTAATCGAGAGGTCCAGGTCATTTCTAATTTTTCACGTCTGTAGCATCAAAAACCCTAATGACTCTATATACTAACATTTTTAACGTTGTTTTCCCTTTTCCAAGTGGTACGTTAACTTTGATTTTATATTGTTTTAATTCAGTTTTTTGTTCACATTTCACACTTTAAGCCTAATAAGTCTGCGAATACACGGTTAGTCTGGCACATCTGTTCCTGTATATTTTTTTATATGAAAAACATAAGTATCTTAATAGGTATTAGATGTAATAAGAATCTAAAATTATTTTACTTTCTGTGAATGATAAAACAATTAGAAAACTTACGTTTCAGAGAATCGTAAAATCCATTATTAATTACAAAGACGGAAAAAAATGGATTGATGAAAATTCTCTTCCAATCAAACTTTTATTGAGCATTCCTCGTAATCAGCAGCAAAAATAAACACACCAGATTTCAAATTAAAACTTGCTGAGAAAAAACGAGCTGCCAACCTTTCACATTTCATCAGAAATTTTTATCCTATTTTCTTTCAGTAAGTTTTTTTCTCACTATACTTAAAATTCTTTAGATCTGACTTTAAATAATAGTACCCAGCTATCAAAAATATCTTTTTAGACTATTTTTTTCCAGACATTTAAAAGTAAAAAAAAAAGAAAAAAAAAAAAAATCTGAAATGTTTCAGGTTTTAAATTACGTCCAAAGGGGCGTTTTTTAACATTTTGTGTGTTACCTTTCTTTATTAAATATCATGTTCCTCGCACTTAAACCATAAGATCCAGTGCAACAGCAATATCGCAAAATAGTTTTAAAACGAGCATATCTTTAGAATTTCCGATACAGAGACTCACGCGCTGGAGATAAAAATGTTTTTTCTGCACAACGTTGCCATTGCTCGCTTTGAAATCCTTGAGTTTGTTAATCAAAAATTCGTCTAAAAAGTTTTAAAAAATAGGAAATCGATCATAAAACAAATTTCAAATTTCAAATTTGGTCTTCCACATGCTCATATTCGTTGGAGGATTACGTTATTCAAAATTCGATGACTCTATGTACCGTTGTTTTATCACAATACGAGAAATATACATACATTTATGCAGATTTTTCATTATTTAATTTCTTCAAATATAATGCAGGACTCTAACATTTTGTGGCAACAGTTTGAAAAGTGAACCGACATTTATGAGTCCGACGCAAAATGCCAAAACGAAACTAATAGTCCTTCGGGATTCAAATCCCTTTGGACTAAAAATATGGAAAATAATTTTAAACCCCAGTGTTTTATTTATCTTATTTCGTGAATTTCTGGTGATACTGTTGCCATTAAAAAAAATTGAAAAATTGAACAATATTCCCTACTGGTTTCTTTTGAAGCCATACATAGATAGATATCTTCTTGCTTAATGGGACCGTCTGCGGCCATTTGAAAAATGTAGATTTGCTAATTATATAACACAAAGAAAGCATTGCCTTCATAGCAGAAGTGAGACTTCTGGAATTTAATCAAAATGGTGTAAGATTTCTCCCTGGATTTCTCTAAATGATTAAATTGCATTTGTAAAGAGTGATAACGTGTTCTGTAACGCAAACCATGATGACAAGATTTTTCGTCTTCCTACTGAATTGAAAATTCCCAATAAAGAACTTTGCTATCTGTGATGACGACTTTAACTGGAAGAGCCAATATAGTTAAATAATCATTTCATATAATGCAACGATATCCGCTACATACCAGACTGAAAGCAAAAACGATAGTATCAATGAAAGTTATTATTTGTTTTGCTTATTTCTAATAATTACAGACTTACTGATGTTTCAGGACCATGGACCTTTATGTACTTTCCTGTGGAAGAAAGTTCCATGGATGTTCTGGGCGTCGTTAATCGCTTGGGCAATCAGCGCTATTCCGAATCTGCTGTTGCTGTGTTGTGACTTATCTCACTTGTCTGATAGCTCTCGGAACATCGGAACAAGCTCACGAAATTCATCGTAGCAAGGAATGCAAAATTGCGCCTGCCATTGGCAAGAGCCTTGAGCACCATACAGGTAACAGTACGACTTTGCTCAGTTCCACCCCCCCCCAGTTTGATGGAAAGCCACTCCAAGGGAAAGGTTCGGTTCATCCCTCATAAAATGAAATCAATTATCGCTTTTAAACAGACACTGGAATTTTTCATGCCATGAAGGACAGGAAGTATACCGAATACGCATAAATTCTCTTAAATTCATCTTTGATTTGAACTTTTGAAAATAAAATACACATTTTCTTTCTTATAAATAAAATTTTTCGTATCCGAGTTTCTTATGAAACGAATCGACAGTAGCACCAATTAAAACTACACCTACTGTGGAGGTTATGTTCCATCAAAGTAGAGACTTAAATGAGGTCATCTCACCGTGTAAATAAGGAGGTTAGGGGAAAACGGGTATAAAAATTGTTTAAAAAATCTGAAAGGTTTCAGAATTTAAATTACGTATAAAGGGGCGTTCTTTTAATGTTTTGTGTGTTCCTTTATTTATTAAATATCATATTCTACGTTTTCAAACCATAAAATTCAGTTCAATAGTAATATCGCAAAATAATTTTAAAATGAGCATATCTTTAGAATTTCCGATGCAGATAGACTCGCGTGTTGGAGACCTTGTAGCAATCTTGCTTTTAAGCAAGAAGAAAGGAGATGAGGACTTTGGCGAACTCCGTTTCCTCCAGTCCGTGAGGGGTGTTCTAGATACAAAATTAATTTATATTCATTCCATTGGAGATACATTTTTTTTCACACAGTGTTGCCATTTTTCGCTTTGAAATTATTTAGCTTTTTAATCAAAATTCGTTGTAATGTTACAAAACATGAAATCGATAATAAAACAAATTTCAAATTCAAATTAGGTCCCCACCAGCGGCCGAGCGGTAAAGACGTTGAACACGGGTAGTTCAGTCCGAGGTTCGAATCCTGCGAACAGGCTGGCTGCAAGGCATTTTCGTGGTTTTCCCCATGTGTAACGTGTATACGAGCCAGTTTCCCTTAGAAAGTCCTTCACGAAGGCATCCCTCCCTTTAGGCAGATAGCCCTCGTGTACTTTGCCATAACTGAATAATCCAATCCAATCCAAATTCAAATTAGGGTTTCCACATGCCCATATTCTGTGGAAGTTTACGCTAATCAAATTTTGATGGCGCTAGGTGCCGTTGTTTTATCACAATGCGAGAAACATGCACACATGTAGATTCTGTATTATTTAATTTCTTTAAATATAATACAGAACGATAATGTTTGGTGGCAACAATTTGAGAAGTGATTCGCCATTTATAGTTTTCAACGCAAAATGCCGAAACGAAATTAATAGCCCTTCAGCGCAAATTTGCCCCTTTGGACTAAAAATGTTCAAGTATTTTGTTATTTAAGTTCATTAAACATGTTTTTGAAAACAATACAAAATAAAAATTTATTTCTTACAAATATTGAAACATAACAAATGAATATGTAGAAATAAATAAAATTTTAAGTCACCATTTATATTTTACATCATTTTTCTGCGTTTCCAAATTCTGTTTTTTTATCAAGAAGGTATCTAATGTCATTTGCATTTTTCTTTTGCGCTCCGTAAGAAACTATCGATAAGGGGACAAGATATCTATGACACTCCGTCTTGCCTTTGAATTCCTATCAAAATCTGCATCATTTTTTAAAAGTAAATCCAGAATTTCCGTTATGAAGTTAAACACTGGTTTTTAGAAATGCCATTGAAACATTTTGCTCTTCTTCAGAATTGCTATTTTTAATATGTGTTCTTCTGGATCTGCTAATTCCCTGAGCTCATCATTAGAAAGATTTTCTGCTGTTTGTCGTAAAATTTGTTCGAGATATTCCCCATTTACTTCATGTAAACCTGTTTGTTTCATTATTTCCACTATTTTGTTCATATCAAAAACAGAATCTCTAGTGTCATCGTTCTTCTTTAAATCCGAACAAATGTTTTCCACACTCCTTTCAAACATTTTTCCGTTACTTCATTCCAAGAAGTATTTATGATTTCTATAGCATCCATGACATTATAGTTCCTCCAAAAATCTCTTATTGATTATTTATCATCTCCGTCTATTTTTTCAGAGATTTACACTGGTGTGCAAAAATTAAGGACGACGCGGTTTTTCAATATAACTTTGTACAAAAGCTTTCCAAATCAACACATTTAATACCGTAAGATCCCCAATGCGTAAGGACATGAGTAATGTAAGCAACACTTACTAAAAGAGAAATCAGAGGGGATTAAAAGAAGCTTTATTGAAAAAGTAGCAAGGAGCGCAATGCATCTGAAGGCCGAAACATCCCTGTGATGGGTGTCCAGCAAGAAACATTCGGTCTTTAGGAGATATGATCTCCCCTGACTGCTAGGCAGGTTTCACAGCGTCTGCCCATGCTGAGAATGAGGGTGTCAATGAGTTGTTGAGGCATTGCTGCCCATTCGTCTTGCAGCGCCAATCGAAGCTCCGGAATCTTTACTGGTGGTAAGGTACGAGCTGCCAAGCGTCTGCCTAGAAAATACCATACATGCTCGATGGGATTGAGATCCGGAGATCGTGGCGGCCAATCCATACGTTCAATATCCTCACTCTCTAAGAGCTGTTCGGCAGCTACTGTGCGATGACATGGTGCATTGTCGTCCATGAAAGGGAACTGCGGACCCATAGCGCCTCTAAAAAGACGCACATATGGAAGAAGAATCTCGTTACAATAATGGGTGCCGTTGACTGAACCTGCGTCGAAGATGTGAAGGTCTGTACGACTACCAAGCATGATGCCTCCCCAAACGAGAACACCGCAACCTCCATACCTGTCCCTTTCAATGATGTTCGAGGGATGATTGCGGCTTCCCCGCTCTCTCCAGATGAGTATGCGATGAGAATCGCTACTCAGACTGAATCTGCTCTCATCTGTAAAGAGTACTCGTCCCCATTCATTGTCTCTCCAATTCCGGTGTTCCCGGTACCACAGAGAACGCCTTCTCCGATGGGCAGGCGTTAGAGGTACACACCGTACAGGGCGACGTGCAAACAGACCACCACCGTACAGTCTTCTGGCTACGGTAAAACGCGATATCGGTCGTCCAGTCGCCTGTGTCGTATGTCTAGCGGTTTCTCCCGCTATCTGCCGCCTGTTTTTTCTGGCCTGTAAGGCAATATACCGGTCATCTGCGGGTGTGGTTCCTCGTGGACGACCACTACTAAACCCCCGGATAGCTGTTCCTGTAGTTTGAAATTGTCTCCAAAAGTCGTGAAACGATGCTGTGAGCAATTCCGAACTCTGCAGCCACACTTGTCACACTGCGGCCTTCATCCAACTTTCCAAAGATTCGACCTCGGGTAAAAGCATCCAGATGTCGTCTAACAGATTGATTATTCGCCATTTCTCGCTGAGGCAGCAACTCGGTGTG